AAGACAAAATTATAGAAGGCATGTATACTTCTCCCTTTAATTTTTTAATACAGTTGATGCTTCTTTCTGGCCTTTACAAAATGCAGGGATACCACACTTATTTCGGTACAATATGATCGTAATGTGTTTTCAATTCGAAATTAAAGAAAAAACACCCCACGTTAATGGTTGCCATTGTAGAACAATAAGGGCCGTTTGCACCATGTCTAGTTAATTCTAACTCCCAGTTAAACATCTTTATCGACGTTATCGACACCCATCATATAACATGTGATCGATAAAGCAGTTAACGTGCTTAACTGAAGGATGTACCTCCAGTTAGCGTTAACTAGACATGGTGCAAACGGCCCTAAGTCTATATTTGCAAACTGATGCAAAGAATTGAATGTCATATCCTAAAAGGTTAGGAGAATTAACGCAACAAACAAACATTTCATTGTCTTATGTTTCCTTCAAACCGCATTGCTATTTTTTCTATCTCTTCCTTTTGTTTCGCGCTGTAACCTCTTAAGTTATATTAGCTGTATTTTTTTGTAAGCGAGCGACAAAAGAACGCTCAACTCGGGTAAAATTTCCTTTTAGCTACTTAGCAACCCTGCTCATGGGCGTAGCCAGGTAGGGGCAGCGGGGTGCTCGACCGTCCCCCTCCACCCCTTAACTTTCAAATTTTCCTTATATATATATAAAATAGTACCCTGAAATGCCAGCTTAGCTGGCAAGAAACATGTGATTAGTTTAACGGGATCTAGACACAAAAAACAATAGAAATGAGTTATTATGCGAGGTATTTGCATAATATATATACTTATTTAAAATATAGATTATGTATATATGATCCGATTTCCCAGTAACAATTCACAATAGAGCAGTTTTTTCATTTAACAACACTACTCTTCAGGTCGCGTATTTATTAACCGACCTGGCTGAACTCGGATAAATAGCCGAGTTCTTGTTGTTGCTTTGCGTGTATTTCGTCAATTAAGCGAGTGTTCTTTTGTAGCTCGGTTGCAAAAGAATGGACCTATTTATTAATTTGTACATGTGAGTAATTTTCAATGAGCATTTTTCCGTTTGCTCCTGAATTTTGGGTACATTTTCTTAAAAAAGAATTATATTACATATATACACTCCGATGTTCACGGTCGCCCCTCTGTTGGTAATAGTAAACCTTCGAGCGTATTCTGTCATGAAAACCGCTTCTCATAAAAATACAATTGCCGTTCGGAGTCGGCGTAAAACTGCCCTTCCCCTTTGTGTGACCAAATCAAGGCGCACGCCCATATGGGAGGAGAAGCTAGGCCAAACACTAACATATTGTGTAAGCGCCAATCTGTATATCGTGGTTTAAAGTAGAAAAGCGTGTATCGTGGTTCTGCAAAAGCTCGTAACTGACATTTGTGCCAAAAAAGATATTTGCTCACTGGCAGCCCCTATCATCAAGCCCTTAATCATTTATACTAAAATTTCGATACTTAGACATAAGAAGAGACAATTAAGTTTAAACGAGAGAGAACCGTTTTGAATTATGACAAGTTTTACTCTCTCCTATGAAATTTAGGCAACCTCACATTCAAGGTTTTGCATTTTCTTGATGCGCGGTTTGTACTTTAAATGACGATATGTAAAAGTATTGCATACATATTTGGGTGCCTTTTCAAGTTAAAGCCCTGTATACAGCTCTCAAGAAATCGGTCAAGAAAAATTTGCCATTATTTCGTGCGTGTATCCAAGGAATTTTGACATTTTTGATACTTCACCGCCTGTTGCCTCACTCTTTCCTCAAGAAATAATGGAACGGGCATATATTTCGGTTGCAAACCTGGGTTGCCTTGTGCTCTTTTTTCACAAAAAACTTTAGAAAACCGTAGTAAAAAGCGTAGCGAATTTCTTAAGAACTGCGTACTGTCTGAAGGAAATTTGACTCAAGAAAATTTCTTAGCCATTTCTTGTACGTCATTTTGTATGGAATTTTAGCATTTCTTGAGAACTGCATACAGGCCTTATTATTAAATTAATTATATTATTATTATTATAAAATAAAAAGCTTATTTTTACTTTCTTAAGAAATTTACTACGCTTTCTAAAAAAATAATGAAGAGAAGCTCATTAAAAAAACATAAGCAACGTCATAAACCAAAAACTTTTCATTCCCACGACAGCCGGTTCTACGTACCGGAATGACTCGGGTTTCACCCGACCAAGGGCTGTTGTTTCGGCGATCTAACCCCGTTTAGGTTGGCGAAGTATCTCAGAAGTTGTCCGTCCATAGGGTAACATTCACTACGCATTCTCCTACTCAGGGCTGGCATCGAGTCAAACCCTGGGCCAGAAATATACACCTGCTGTGTATGCCGAAGACGATTACACCACAACTCCACCTCAGTCAAGTGTAATGCCTGCGAGGGGTGGAGTCACCTCAGGGTCTGCTCGGGACTACGGACACACAGACAGTGGACCACGTCTTACGTGGCCCCCTGTTGCTCAAACAGAGCAGCCTCCACGGCAAACCACAGTCCGCCCGTGAGCCCCACACACTCACACAGCAACCACACACAGTCGCCACTCCAACATAATAACACCACAGACCGTACCAAGCCACCACAGACCACATAACACACACAACCTGCACCACCACCCACACGCCGCCGCCAACAACTCCTGGTTCCCCCTACAATCTGCACGGTATGTCAGACCAGAATATTCCGTAATGTGACATCAGTCAAGTGCAACACCTGCCTTGGCTGGTGCCACTTTAGGGCATGTTCAGGTCTGCTTACCTCGCGAGATTGGACGGGGAATTTCGAGGGCCCGTGTTGCGCTGCTCGGTCGCAGACGTCAATTGCGACGCCCCCCACCACCACCAGGGCGGCAATCACCTCAGCAGCACACACAGCCAACGGCGGCAAGAACATACACCTCACTCACACCCCACATCACGACACGCCTCCCGAACCACATGAAGCTCCTCCAATTCAACTGTAACGGGCTACAGAGCAAGATTGAGGAGATAACCGTCTTCATTTGTCGGCATGGTATACTAATAGCTGCGGTCCAAGAGACGAAGCTGCACAGCAATTCAACTTTGTTGAATTGCGCCGGGTACAACGTGCACCGTCGAGATCGCGAGCGAGATAATGGTGGTGGCTTAGCGTTCATCACGCACCACACCGTGCAGTATCGTCTTATCGAAGCAGACATCGACCGCAGGGATACCACCCTAGAATGTCAGGGCATCGCTATCCGGTCAGGCGATGTCGAGCTCGAAATATTTAACATATACATACCCCCTGTCACCTGCTGCCCAGCAGGATATCACCCTGATATAGGTGCGCTCCTCAGAGGTGAAAACCGTATGGTAGTAGGTGACTTTAATGCGCACCACGATCTTTGGCACTCAAGCCTGTCAAACGATCGTAGGGGAACAGACTTGGCTGAGCAGATAGACGATTCGACATTCTGCACAATGAACGACGACGCACCCACCAGGATTATGGGTAACTGCAGTAGCTCGCCAGACATCACAATAGTCAGCGCTGGTCTGATAAAC